TACAGTGATTTGGAACACACACAGAGGAAATTAGATGTTTAAATCAACATGCTCAACATATTTTTTAATGACCCTCATTACAATTATACAGTTCAGCAGTTCATCATTTCTTTTACTTTCAGAAGTAAATCGCCTGACCAAAAGGAACCATGTTTTAGAATAGAGCGTACATTTTGTACTCCGCCATCCATATTTGGACCAGTTTCAAAGCTGAGATGTTTTTACAGTTAGCAGCATCTTTTCAGCTGTTGGAGGTAAATGTCATCTTTAATTCATTAAACAAACAGCACTTCTTTTCTCTAGGCAGAAAATGCTGCCAGCCATAACATATTTAAGGTATTTTTTAATATATTTAAAAAATTTTTTGCATGAGGTGTTACTGAGAAAACAGGAAAGTGGATCATGAGAAGGGAGGTCTCTGAAACATGAGTATCTATCCATACATCCATTGAAAGATATTTTAAAAAAATCAAAAGGCATTCAACTGTCTTTTAACTGTCTCAACTAATACACAAAATAGTCTCAAAATATTCTTAGGATCTCACTGATTGATTAAGTGCATGAAATTGCCCTCACTCCTCTGACAGGTTCCTAAAACTACTGAAGAGCATGCAGCTGTTTCATAGGTCTTATTTGCTTCTAGAAGGTGATATCCTGGACGAGCCAAATTAAAGCTGAAGCACACAGGTAACAGTCAGCTTCTATATTCTAAGATTTAATTTCTTAATTGTAAGTCTTGTTAAACATGATACTGTGCAAAATTTGGAACATGTAAAAATTTTTTAGGAAAGGATGTTCTTTGGTGTTTGTACACTTTCAAGCCTAATCACCAAGAAGGGAGATTTAATTTGTGAAACAAGAGAGCAGCTAACAAACTCTAAGTGATGTCTATGTGTTAGAAAAACAAATGACTAGTTGGTAGAATGGCCTTGTTTGGTTTTAGGGTAGGACATGCTTCAGTGATCTCAGACCTAAGGGGAGAACAGTTAACAAGGCTTGGGAAGGAGGTCCACTAATAGTGGACACAAAGAATGCAGAATTTATGGGGTATCTGGTAGAACTCCCAAGATAAGGAAGAAACTAATAAAGCCAACTCACTAATTGTGCTGAAATCAGCTCCAACTGGGTAAAAGGTAATTCCAGCAGGGGGAGATGGCAACCACTGACTCATAGACCACTCACCCAAGAAGACCACTGACTGAAAAGAAGGGAAAGACTGAGCATGAGGACTAATCAGCATGAGAAGCAAGAGAATCATTAACCAACAGAAGACAGAACACTAATTAATAACATAACTATGTAACTTGTAGCCAGTGAACACTAATTCCTTTGTTTGCTAAAATGTATAAATAGTAAAAATTTTTAATAGTTGGGGGTGTGGCTCATGGAATGCCACTAAGTACTGAGGTTTGTGCAACTTTGAAATAAATAATCAACGTCTTTCTCGAGTGTGTACCTATTGGTTTGTTACACACTGGGTAACAAACCCGATTTTTGCTGATAAGAATACTCTTCCCATCCCCACACTCCCAGCAGAGAGAGTGGCTACCCCAAAAAAAGGAATTCAAATTGAAAAAACAGGTGACCAGGAAGATGCACCCTCCTGAAAAGGTAGGTCAAAGAAACCTCCTAGAAATAAAAGGCACAGAACAACAAAACTTCCATCTCTGTACACAGCCTATTCCATCTGAGGGTAAAGTTTCATGGAACACTGCTCCATTCAAATACCCAGCAGGAAGCAAAACCTGACATTTATGAAGGTACTCAATTGCTCTGGATGAACAGAATCACAGCTTAACTTCCTGTTTCTTCTCATCACACAATTATTTGTGTCTCTGTAAGAGATATTTTAACTGAATAGATGTATTATTTTGCAAGTGTTAGATTTTAACGTTCAGCTCTCTTTTAAAAGTGGCAATCAACAAGCAGTTCTCTGAAGTTTATTAGAATCAAATGTAGAAGTTGCATGCATTAGGCAAAACAACTTGAATGGGCAATCCCATTCAGTTGTGATGCAGACACAAAGCTGTATCAGCTCGCATGAGAAGCATGTCCCTGTCCTACAGGTATTGCAAGACACAGACTGAGGCTTTCTCTGTACTTCTGCACAGCCCTATTGCCTCTCACCCAGCTCATGATGCCCAGGTCTCTTTAGTCTGCAAATCTTTCATCTTCTACCCAAGTATGCCTCACACATGGGCTGACAGAAGGGTACTGAAATAGCAGTCTTTTGCTGCCATTATGCAGGATGCCTGCAGTGTGGCAGGAGATCATGTGATGAATCACAGAAGCATGAGTCTTGTGCTCCCCTCTGAGACCTGACGTTTGTATAATTGAAAGAAAAGACAGAGATTCCTTAAAAATAAGGCTGAGATAAGCCATAGAGCACGATACTCATAATCCAACTGACAAATGCATTCATACACTGAGTCACTCAAAAAAGCACATTATGAAAAAACAAAGTCTAATATTTTCATAATCCGTGGCTGAATGGAAGTGGAAAATAATTGCATTCAAATACCATTTAAATAACTAAATAATTACTAAAAGGTACTGTATGTTTCCTACTGTACATTCCTACTGCAGACATAGAAAGAAGCATTGGACACTAAGGTATCAGAATACACTTTTTGACCTCCAGTGACAAAACCAGAATTGCATGCCTAAACAGGTGTTTAAAGATGCTATTTACATTATGCCAGCACTACTCACCAAGAAGCTAATTCTCTCCTCGAAGATCTTTAACTTGACAAACTTTTAAAAATGCAATTTAAGAAACTGTAACTGAGTATAATTAAAACACTCAGCATGCAAACAGATAAGTAATGCACTACATATAGATTAGTTTGTCCTGCCTTTGGTTACTCAAATATTCAAGTGTAGTTACTTGATGGGCTATGTTACAAATAATATTATATTTTTCCCTCCTTCCCTTAGTTCCCACACATATAACACCCTTAAAATTATAAAGAAACAACGTGGTATAAAAATAAATTTTTCTCAAAATTCAAAAAAAAATTTTAAAGGAAAGAGTTATAATATGGAATCTGTCATAAATGGTTGTAAAGCCACTCATTCATAATGTGTGATATTGGTGTTTTTTCCCAGTTGCCAATGCTACAACAACAAATCCTCAGAAGGACAAAAAAAAACCCAAACCCAACACCAAAACAAAACATCCTCCTTCTGAGACAGAATCCCAGTTCCTCCTCCACAAGTGGGTAAATATGATAAAGCTCAGCTGCCAGGATTCATTAACTGAATACTAAAGTGTTGATTAAAATGGGAAAGAACCAAGCTCTAAACAAAGAATGCCCCTTCATGTATATAAAACTGCAAGACAATGTATATCTTGATGCATGGACATACTAAAATCTTTCATATTTTCTGATTTTTTGGTCATTCAAGATGCACTCTCAATGGTGCCTTATTCACTGATATTTCCATTCAAAATGAGAGCAGTACTGGATTCCTTTTTCCTTTAGACTTGCTTGATCTATTGTTAAAACTGGTTTTTAACTAGACTGTGAAAGTGAATTCATTACTTCATTCATTCTTCTTATTTCTGGAAAAGGCATCAGTAGATGTTTTTAAACTGGCAAAATTATAGGATTAAAATTCACAAACCAGAAAAGTTTACTTAAGAAACTAGACAGTAACACACATAATTAGCAAGAACAAACTAAAATTCCAATTTTTTTACATTAATTTATGAATTCATTATTTAATGAGCCAGATTTTAAACTGTACCACTGTAGTAGTCATTTATTGTTTCCTAATTATCAGGCAAGTCCAAGTTATATTTTTGTGTACTGATTTCATTTCAAAATTGCCAAGCTTATAAAATGAGTCTGTAGAAAACCCTGCCTACAGTCTGAAAGCAGGAAGAAAGGACTTCTTATCCCACACAATACATGTACAAAAGCAGACATACCAAAGGAAGATGATGGAGGTTTTTGAACAAGACCTGTTTTACTACCTCTCCTGGGAGACTTCCAGAAATCATTCCTTATTTAATGGGAAACTGGCAAGTTTTGTGTCTTTTGCAGGATGGCCCTGCTCTTCTGCACAATATAAACATCTAGCTCATTTGTCACATCACAAGACAGAGAATGAACCACACAACATCACTACGAAACCATCTGAATTACGGACATGTGTTTTTCAGATGCATGACTATCTGCTGTGTGACAACTACACATATAGCTCACAAAGAACATTCTTTAAATTAGAAAAAGAATACAAGAAACCAATAGCCTTTCAGGTAAGTCTGAAACTTAACAAAATTTAAACCTTAGCTCAACTGAAGGCTGAACAATATAATTTCAGTGAAATTAATGTTAATCTATTAGAAAGAAAAGACATAAAATTTTACATTAGTGAATGTCCAAAACACTCTTTTAATCTCAGTAATTTTTTAACCACGCAGTATTTTTAAAGGCAATTGTTTTCAAAGTTATGTAACACATGAAGCAAGAAGAAAGGGATCTACAGCTGATTGTCTCCTGGAAACAAGCTGTACCTAGGCATTTATAGATAGTAGTTTCTACAATTTGCAAACCATGGGCTTTAAAAAAAATCCTGATACCTATAATTCTATTTAATTTTTCCCTTCATAAATATATGACACTTCCCTTACCTAATCTCTAGTACATTAAAGGTTAACATAGCACATATCTTTAAAGAAAAAAGTTTTTGCAACAACCTAGCCTAATAACTCAATCTTTATTAGTACTATTAGTTTTATACTGCTGTTCTGAAATTCAACTGACATCAAGCCTCACCTTTTACCCTAATTTTCACTGATTAAAGAGGGAGATCTTTCAGAGAATTTCTAGCAAAACTTTTTAACTACTGTAAGTTTAACAGCTCCAGATAACTACATTACATATTTCAAAATAAATGCAGACAGACCACAGTTTACCCAGAGCCTGCAACATTAAACTACTCCTTTCAATATTCCCTCTCATCTGAAGTGTACTATGAAAAACAGTACCAACCTAATCCCAAGTTAAGATTCTCTTCAAATATCTGCTCATAAGAAGACAGTTGCAGAGATGAGACACAGTAACTTCTCATAGATACGAAATCTGCAAAGGATGCAAATGTTTCCATGAATTCTTATGTACCAGAGAACACAGAACCTAGAAAACAACTAAGGTGAGAACAAATGTAGATTTCTGTAAAACTGAAAAAAATAAATGCAATTTGAAAATACCATAACGATGTAGGTCTTTCAAAATAATTTCTTTATTCAAGAGTTAAAGAGGGTTTTCTTGCAACATTTATAGGCTTCAGTTGTTAAATCTTATAGTCAGTTGGGAAAAAACTCCAAAATCAATTTTCTGAATATGACTTCAAAACCAGCAATAGAAAATGGCTAAAAATTAATCAGATGCTGGGAGGCAAGTGGAAGGCACATTAAAAAGTCAAGGAAAAAAGAACAATAGTGTTTGGACACAGGAAATCCAGGTTGAATATTTCACCTGTCTAGAATCAAACAGAAAGTCTGTGCCAAAGACATCAACTAGTTTTTAAAAGCTACTTACATTATTCAGTTGAGAAGTACCCACGATCTTGCTTCAGTGTAAGATGTACTTAAATAATTTCTAACTAGAATGATTAAATTAGATTTAATATATAAAAAAATTGAAAGAAATTTGCCTTTGAAATTAATAGCTATGATTACTACATACCATTAAAATCAAATCAATTTAGTCTTCTTTTAAAGTTACATGTTGTTACTGAAGTTTTTCAAACATCAATCAACTGAGGTGATACAAACGTCTAAATACCTGCAATTATATTTTATTACACTGAAGTAGAATCACAGATTAACTAAAAGAAGAACATAAAATTACTTAAATTTGAAGCAAGTGTGTAAGTAAAGACTTTTTTCAAAGTAAAATAAAAACAGTAAGGGATTAAAAAGCAGATTAAAGGGTTTTTTCCCTTCTAATTTATGAGTAACAATAGTACAGAAGAGTTTCTAAAACTGTGTAACATACGGTTACACTGTTGTCTCCTACAGCAAAAAGGTATCATTTTGGTTTAGGGGAAAGTGTCTTACAGTACATTTGGCAATAACATCGGTTAAAAAAAAGGCAAAAAAAAAAATCCCATGAATCCTCACAACTATACAATATATAATTATTCAGGGCAGCTGGTTCACGCAGTACCTTGTAAATTCTCTTGAAATTAATGTGTTTTAAAAAAAATCTATTTGGGAGGAGTAAAGTCTTTGAACAATCCCTTTATCACACTCCAAGTGGAATCACTTGTTACAAAGCACAGAGCAGATCTTCTGCAAATTATGTAACTCCTCAGACAGGTTTCCCAGGTTAAACAATTCCCAGATTTCAGAAAGTTGTACTGCAGTTATGCACAATTCCTTGCTGAAGCTCTTCAACAGAAATTGCACCTACAATGACTAACTGATTTTTTTTCAATACTAGCCTTTGTCCATAGTCTCGCCCTCTACTTCTTGCATTTCAAAAATCATCCCCCATTTAACATTACTAGTCTTAACAAAAAATTAAAAGTATTGAAGATGTCAAACATTTATTTCTTAATGCAATATGAAATATTAAAAAGGTTATATTTTTCTTACTTCCCAGAAAAGCACCATGTTCAGACTAACCTTTTAGCTAACAGGAACAGATGGGTCTAACTGGATACAGGCGTGATGGAGCATTGTGGTAGAGCAAAAGAACATGTTGATTCTCATACCTCTGGCAGATGGGAACCAGTCAAAATTAATTTTAGACTAAAAATGTTTTCCTACTTCTCAGTAAAAAAGAAGAAAAACTTGAAAAAAATGCTATTTTATACATGCCATCAGAGCTCAGACAACAGCAGCTTTCAAAAAGTCGATACCATACATTAAAACCAATTACATAGGCTTACTGTATGTCATTTTTAAGCCTGTGAATAAATTAGAAATTCCTGAAAACAGTAGCTTATAATGGAAGTGCTGACACAACCTTAACTACAGCAGTAAATGCGCTGCTATTATGAAGTTGTTATGGCAACTAGAATGATCAAGTTGAGAGGAAAAGAGGAAGAATGTGCATAAGCAAAACTTAAAAATCTTTGACACCACCCCCCACAAACTCTTCCAAAACTTGTGGTCACAGTGTTATCACTCCTTACCTTTACAACAAAAAAAATTAACTGCAAAACTTCCCCTTACACAGGTGAGGGTGGTGAGTTGCCACATGAGTTTAAAATCCAAAACAAATTAAATCCAAGATCATAATCCATCTGGTTCCTACATATATATGAACAGTCTAAAAAGTAGAGTCAATTGAAAGATATCTGAGCAGCATCTGCTGAGCACATATTTATCAGATATCACAAGTTAACAAACAACAATTACGCAAAACTGTTCAGTCTTCAAGACAGTTTCATAATTTGTTACCAATCTGAATAGTTTAGTAACAGTACCCTGCTGTAATTTGGCTGAATCTGATAGCACATTCACAAATTACTGATCCATTAATTAAAATGTGATTACAAGTATAATTGAAGCTCATATATTTGTGAAACAATCACTACTAACCCTTCCTAATACTGTGTTAAACAAAAGCAGAAATCTTCAGCTGTTTCCAATATTAAAATAATGGGGAAAAAACCATACCACAGTAGTCAAATTTTTATACAAAAAAATGCCAAAAGTATGATTTCTAAAATGTATTAATTAAAACCTTTGTACGCACAGAGTTCGTTCTCAGAAAAAAAAAAGTTTAATTGCAAGTATCATTCTTGCAAAATATCGCTGAATAAAATTTCCAGCAAAATGTTTGTAAGCACTCAACAGCCCTAGAAATAATGTTAAATCATCGTATTATTATTATTATTATTAAATTTTATTAAAGCATTCTGTCCCAATACATCTACTAGCAACACTTCAACTAGAAAAGTAGAAAACAAACTATTTGCCTGCCTTCTCGAAGGATTTTGTATTAAAGCCACTTTTTCTCAAGTGTAACTTGACTGCCATAACTAAAATCTAGGAAACACAAAAGGCCTCAGATGTCTGACACGATAAGAGTTGTGCTAAGTACTTTTACTCATTCATTTCCTAGGTAACAAAACCTCCTTTTCTTCTAAGCTATCTCAATCCATTTTCTCTTTTGAGTTTGTTGTTCTACACCCGTTTTCAGACTACAGGAAATACTAATTTAATGAAAATAGTCTCATTTTAAGAAATGACAAAGTATCCCCCCTTTCACTAAGAGCTAGCAGATATAGCTGTTAAATTCAAAATAATTTAAGACTCAGAGTTTTGTGGTTTTAAGTCAAAAATTACTCAGTGTTAATTGTACGACTGATTTCAAAAATTTAAAACTTTGAAGACTTTTTATTTATACAGACATTGATTTTTTAATCTTTTTTTTTTAAGAAATGTACAATATATTCTACATTGAACACAGAAAAATACAGTTTTGCACATGAATTTCATTTAGCTGGAAGGTAATAAAATATTCCAGTCACAAAACAGAATTATTTAATCTTCAATAACAAATAATTATTGATATGAGATCCCAACAAATACACACATCCTCAAAGAAAAAGGGAAAAAAGAATAAGGCAGAGAGTATTTTGTTCATAAAGGCAAGAACCACTTGTAAGCAACAAAAAAAGCAGCAATAATGACAACATTTTATTCAGAACATTAGCTCTGCAGTGATTAAAAAATTATCATAGATACACTGCTTTTCTCTGAAAAGCAACCACTACTTATCAACTTCCTTGAAACAGGTAATCTGATAAAATTCTCAAAAAGGAAAATGCTTACAAGTTTTTTCTAACACTACGTCTTCTTCTCCCCCCATTTCTTTACAGTACTAACATTAGTGATTATCATGTATTTTAAAATTTGCAGAAACATTTCGCTGAGATGCAGCTTTACTGATAGCTCAGTGTTATTAGAAAAATGGGTTTTCCAGTATATTTGACAAATTACTTTCATACAGTGGGGGTAATATTTGACCTTTAAGACTTGAAGAATCCATAATTATTAATCATGAGTGGACTAACACAGACAATAATACATGGCTTAATACTATTTGCAAAGCTATCAGCTTTGACACTGTAAATATTAAATATCACCAAGATTCCCATGAAAATTTCAGTGAGCTTTTAATTCAAATGCTCACACACTTACAGTGCAAAATGTTTTTAAAGAAAGCATTGTGCTCACTTCTTATGTAACTTTTAAAAGTACTTTTATTAAAGTAGGTAAGTGAATTATTCACCCTAGGTCTGATTTTCAGGTGCAGTTTCAACCTGTTGCTAACCAAAACTTCATAGCAGTTATTTTGAGGTTTTGGCTATAACATGTACACTCAAAAAACTAGGAACTGAAACAGAAGTCTGTCCAAGAAGTACAGGACTTCTTCCTCACTACAAATTAACTTTTCTGCTATCAGAAAATAATCACAGAATCACAGAATATGCTGAGTTGGAAGCGACCCACAAGGATCATCAGAGTCCAACCATCAGCTCTGCACAGGACCATCCCCAAGAGTCACATCTTATGCCTGAGAGTATTATCCAAACACTTCTTGAACTCTATCAGGCTTGGTGCTGTGACCACTTCCCTGGGAGCCTGTTCCAGTGCCCAGCCACCCTCTGGTGAAGAACTTTTTTCTAATACCCAACCAAAACCTCCCCTGATGCAATGTCAGACCATTCCCTCAGGTCCTGCCACTGGTCACCACACAGAGGAGAGATCAGTGTTTGCCCCTCCTTTTCCCCTCATGAGGAAGTTGTAGACTGCAATGAGGTCTTCCCTCAGTCTCCTCTTCTCCAGGCTGAACAAACCAAGTGACCTCAGCTGCTCCTCACATGGCTACCCCTCAATGCCCTTCACCATCCTCGTTGCCCTTCTTTGGACGCTCTCTAAGAGCTTAATATCTTTCTTACATTGTGGTGCCCAAAACTGCACACAATATTCAAGGTGAGGCTGCCCCAGTGCAGAGCAGAGCTGGACAATCCCCTCCCTGGACCGGCTGGCGAGGCTTTGCCTGATGCCCCCTGGACACGGTTGGCCCTCCTGGCTGCCAGGGCACTGCTGACTCATGTTCAACTTGCCATCAACCAGGACTTCCAAGTGCCTTTCTGTGGCCCTGCTTTCCAGAATGTCATTCCCCAGTTTGTATGTATATCCAGGGTTGCCCTGTCCCAGGTGCAGGAGCCTGCACTTTCCCTTGTTGAACTTCCTGTGGCTGGGAATTGCCCAGTCCTCTAATTTGTCAAGGTCTCTCTGCAGGGCCTCCCTGCCTTTGAGGGAGTCAACAGCTCCTCCCAGTTTTGTGTCATCTGCAAACAGGGGGTTGGTATCCCCCTTACAGTTCTGCAACATGCCTGTGATCCAAATGAAATGACATAGAGGGATGTAGCCGGTCTCCTGTGAGTCCTTACTCCTGGCTTAGAGATGCAAGAACTTCATGTCAACTGATGTCGTCTACAGATGTGGAATCTCTCATCACACCATCCTGTGAGCACAAGAGAACCAAACTCTGCAAGAAGTAACAGCAGTGATAGCCATATCGTAGATACCCAGGCACAAGACAGACTATAGGACCTTTGGAGTGCTCAGTGGTGCATGCTTGAAGCTTTTGCTACTTCAGTCATATCAGCAACATTCTCCACCACAGATGTTATTTATCCCCTTTAGTCATGCAGCTTATATATATATAGCTTATTCCTGTTACAGCTTGACCAAATGGAAAAGATTTTCAGAACACCATGCTAAAAATACAATTCGTCTTCTTCATGCTGTAGTCAAGGCTAAAAATTTTAACCAGCTTCATCTTCAGAGTTTGAATTCTTAAACACCAATCATTTCCTTACCTTAGACTCAGGTTGCATATCAAGGTGTTAGGACCAGTGTCATGCCCTAAATTTTAACATGCTGCTTTATCCAAGTTTATCCTCATCTCTGGGTTTGAGACAACAGAATACTTGATACTTTTGATACTAACATATAGCTTGTTCTGAGGAGGGGAAAAAAGTGGTTTTCGTACATGTATGTCTATGTGTGCACTTGCATATGTGTGTATTAAAACATTGCTCAGTTATTTTGTGCTTCAGGACTTCTGGGGGAGTAATCACAGAGTAGATATTTGAGTCCCCTGTTTCGGGATTTGCAAGGAGGGAAGCAGACCAGGCTAATGTTGTCTCCCAAAAGATTATCAAAGAATACAAAAGTTGTGTCTTGTCAGATTCCAAATACTTATAAGGTTTTTGTAAGAATAAGCACTTTCATGAAATATCCTGATATATTTAGGACACCTGTAGTTCAGCATAGGCTGTCAACTCCAGGCATGGATCATATGCTTGAAGAGAGAAATCATGAGACAGTGTTAATATTATTTCAGAAAGTATGCCTCATTCCAGTACTTTCAGTGTGGACTTTACATCATGTACTCATTGTATCCTTGGCAACTCTTGTCTAAAGAGCAAGACTGACAACTTAAAATTTAAAGTTACAGCCATCATATATTACTAGGCTTGGATTTGGTCTTGAGCTAGATAGAATGCAAGCTAAAGACCAAAAGTATTCCAAAAGTTATTTGATGTGATGTAAGGGCACATCTGTGTTCACCATTATTGACTGGATAAACCAAAATAAAGCTTTATCCAGATAATCTTCGTGATTTCATAACAAGAAAGATGAAGATAACTTGGTTGCTTCAATAAAACAAAACTAAGGCAAATTGTGAGAGCAAACAAGTACAAACCAGTAGAAGTAGCCCCTTCCCCCACTGTGTCTTTGATGTGGCTTATGTTTTCCCCCCCAGTTTTAAAGTAATATTTTCTTTCTTTCATCATTTTATCTCTTCTTTACCTTCAATGCACAGAAGGCAAAAAAAATAAAAATTGTTTGTAAACATTTTCTTGTCAATATATTCACAAAGAAAATTTACACTACGTAAGGTTCCAAAGGGAAAAAAAAAAAAGAGAAACTATATTCTAAGGAAAAGTTCCAAATGTCACATTATTTTTCTCACAATCAGCATATGTTGCCCCTAACAACATTGAACCAGTGAATGAAGATTTTATCCATCATAATTTAGGACAGATTTATGAAGGCTGATGGCATATTAAAGTGATTTTTAAAATATATATAATTTCTTACATATTAACCTCAAGACAGTGGTTACTTAACATTAAATCAGACAATTTACATTTCTAAATTAATTAGAAATGGATTTGTGAGTCAGTCTTTGATATGAAGAGTGCTATGAGTTTGAACACCATCTTCATACAAAGAGTTCTTTGAAAAGTATATTTTTTTTTAACATTAAGGTTTCATTTTGCAGGGAAAAAAAACCAAATGTGTAGGCTTAATCTGCACATTAAGGTATAAGTGAAAACCCACAAGACTACAACCACGTTTCCCCAGTGAAAGGCAAAATGAAGCAAAACACAAACCACGATTTTCAAAGCAAATCTTTTGGAACATCTTTTTGATAAAAAGCTAGCTATGAATAAACCTCAACCTGAATGGAGTTTTTAACCCTATGCATGAGATCCACCATGTCAAAACAACTCTCGTCTGTTTTACCTGATCATATCCCAAAACCACATTATTTTCCTGGTTTGTTTCTTGATGACAAGCTGCTAAAACACAGAGAACCTATCAAACCTAGTATTATCATCTGCTGCTTTTTTCTTCTAGTACATACTGCTGTCCATCAGAAGAAATAATTAATGGTTCTATTATGTATGAAAGCGTCATCCTGTCAGTTCAGTGACTGGTTTGAATAGCTCATATCTGCTACTCATTGATGCCATGCGTGCTCACTGTCCTGAGAGATGACAAAACACTACACCCTTTGGGATTTTTTTTCCCCTCTGCTCTAAAGCAGCATTTCACATCTGTGTCTGACAGAAGCATAAGGAGCTGAGAGAGGCAGACCTTCACCATCCTTCACAGAATAATGTTGCATGGATTAAAAGTTAAGACCTGATGTCTACTGATCCTGCATATTTCCTACAAAAATCTAAAATGTGGAGGCTACCAAAATATGTAGGGAAATAACTTTTCAGTGTTGGAATAGCACCAGAAAACAGATGGAATTTACTGGATTCTAAATATTTAAATATTCTTTTAAATGGGTGCTGAATACTTGAGTTAACTGGGGTCGGTGCATTTGCCTTCTTTTTATATATATATTTTTTTTTTCCTTTGGTGGGAAGGGGAAGATGCCAAGTTCACAGGTTCTTTTTTGTTACCTGATTAGGGCAGAATAAACAAAAATGCTGAATGTGGAAGAAATCAGATATTGGAGATACCTGGAAATAAACTGGAAACAACCAATACCACAAGACCGAAGCAGCAGTGAACAACAAGACGCTGTGGAAATCACAAGACGAGAGTGCACAATGCATTTCAAACAGGAAAAAAGCTTCCTATCTGCTGAGTGAGTCTCAGTATATTCTGACAGAGCACAGACAAAGCTTCAATCAAATATCTCCTAGGTAAGTTTTTATTTCATATACTGCTTTAATTGTTTATCAAATCAACATATACTTTTATGTATGGACAATAACTCGATGAATTTAAATTTCTTTACACTGATACTGAAGTTTGAATCATTCTATGCCAGATATTTGATGTTCTTAGATTTCCTATACTGTTCAAATAACAGATCTCTTTTGATATTAAGATTATTCAAAGGAAAAACTATTAAATGCTCTCTCTTGATGTATACTAGAGTGAAATATATCTTAAGATTTAAATCCTTTAAAATATTTTAATACATACATCCATGCATGGCTGTTTAAGAAAAATTAATAAAAAGCCACATTTAAAAAAAAAAATACTGCACTTCATTATATATTTAATCTAGCAAAGCTAACAATGTTTTGCACCATAGCAGCAGATGTAAAAGGATATCTTTCATTACAGAATAATGAATCTTTGTTTATATAAAAGGATATTAAATAAAGCTAGAAGTGTTGCTTAGTTATTTATGAAAGGTAAACTACAGCACAATAAGGAAACAGCACCGTGTTAATACACCCCAAGGTACTGTGTACAGAGTTTCAATCAGAAGACTGGACATCAGTGCCCCAGTTGAAGTATAAAAAAGAAGGTGCAGTTCATCTCATTTTTTTAACTCATTTGGAGTATTCACAACATGAATTCTATACAGAAACAACAAGCAAAACATTTTAGAATGAGATTCTAACATCTAGTAGGTCTTGAAAAATAAACACTGTATCTGTTAATCAAAAAACTACACTTAGAAGTCATAGAGAAAGTCATTGCTAACACACAAAATATCTCCCACAATACTTGGAACTAAAAAAGCATTAAGAGTCATGTATCATTTAACATACCATTTCATAGTATCACACTGGTCAGTTTTGTATGTAACAGCAGCTTTGAAAAACTACATCTTTGCCCCTACTGTCTTTTACTGATTTTGCGCAATTTTTTTCTATTTACTAAGTTGCAATATCTCTTCTTCTAGCATTGTTTTAAGTATTTCCTCTACTCCTCTTTGTATCACTTCCCTCATTTCTATTTAGCACATCTTATTATATGATATTCTTATTTAATGTAACCAATGGTTCTTTTCTTGGTTTTTTTTACTTTTTATGTTTTGCTAACTTACTAAAATAATCTCTTCCTGATGCTTGCTAAAGACAGACTTATTTGCCATTCACAAACACCTCTTTTGAACCCTTCACTTATGCACAGAGAATTTATGAATTCTATCTAGTGACAGAAGACTAAACTTACTTGTCAAAGACTGATAGAATATCATGAGATGAAAAAAAAACAAGTTGGTATGAGACAAGGCTCATCATAGTATCAGGAGTCAACAACATACTCCCAAAATAATGGAATTCCTACCAGACAAGATCTGTGAAACAAATTCTGCAGGAAAAGGGTCATCTCATGCATATTACTATAGAGTACTTTATACTATACACTCTATATATAGAGTACTTCATATATCTGAAATTCCTTCTACAAGGTCACACTTTTTCACTGCCATGGAGTGGGGGAAAAACTTATTTCTCTAAACACTCACACTTAGGTCTCCTGTTTAATGCAGGCAAAGTCGACTAGTTTTCCACTTTCCCATTTGCTATGCCTAATGAGAACTTAATGGAATTTTTGCTAGTGCACCTGTAACTCAGCCATTTTGTTGATGACAGCTTCCAGCATTCTCTACATTTCCTCTGTTTCTGTTCTTCTCTTTTCTAAGTAGCTCCAACTGGTCAAACAAATATCTTTCAATCATTTTTTTCCTGTGTCTCACTTCCCACATTCCAGTGATCCAGTAAGAATTCTCCCTGCCTCCTCACGGCCGCTATACCTACTACAGGCATTGATACTTTGTCTCACATCTAACACACCAGGAAAAAAACATCAGTCACCAAGTAGATTCTGTACAACATCAACTGAAACAATATGGTGACAAATTTCAATAGCACCAGTTCAGAATTTCAGTAACTTGAACCATCAAAGCCTACTACTACAACTCAAAAACATTTGTAACAAGTACCAGATGCAATACAGCTTTTGTCAGCTGATTTCAGAAGACAGCTTTGTCTCTGCTGAATTTAGTTCAGAGTTGGAAGTAAAAAACAGAGAAAAATTAGAATTGGAATTCAACCTTTGATTCTCCAGCTAATGCTCTCACACTGGAAAAGTTTTAACTTCGACACTGTGAGTTTTTGTCTCCTCTTTTGTAAAAAATACGGTTTATCATGGCTTTAAAACAAACAAACAAAAAGAAACAAAAACAAATAAAAACCGCAAGCATAACAGCTAGCCAACAAGCCTATTTAGAAAAATCAGGTGATTATTGAGTGAAGCTCTCAAAAGACTTACTCAAAACTTAATGATTTAGAAACTTATGAATTAAGAGTTGCAGTTAGGGCTTTTTAAACTCTGTTGTAAATATGAGAGGGCTATGAAAAAGAGTGGAAAGCTTTCTTACAGGAAGAATAATTGGATACAACTAATATTTTTTGAAATATGTAATATTTTTTAAAGGTAGATTTCTTCAGACATACTCATTAATAACTTTAAGTCATCAAGATAAATGCTATTTTTATTTTAAGTGCATTATTTCTCTTACTTATCCACAATGAATTCAGATGCATTAACTAAGTGAACAGTTCATTATGAAGTTTCAAAACCTAAACTTCCACGCAACCAGAAATAAATATATCACAAAATGTTTTCCAAAATGTGTAATTATGTAAAATCACCTCACCTGAAAGCAGTAAGTCAATATTTATTTTTCCACCTCTAGCATAATCAGTTGTTCAAGGATCGCTAAGCATCTGACAAGGATATCTTTTCATTTCCTCTGTACTAAGCTGTTTGTATTTGTGAAATGAATAAATCACATCACAAAAATAACTACAGTCAATTGCCTAGAGAGGATGCCTGCTTGGTAAAACGGCACGTGTGGTACATGCAAACAGAACCCCTTCCCAATTAATTCAGCAAGTAAGAAATATTAAAGTGGGAAGATATGGTATAATAAGCCTTTTAGAAATTATGCAAATGAGACATAAACCAAAAGTGCAAACTGCCCCTTCTAGGCAGATATCAGCTAAGAGAAATCCACACAGAATATTCTGAGTCGTAAGGGTCCCCCAAGGATCACTGAGTCCAATTCCTAAGTGAATGACCCATAGAGGGAGTGAACCCACAACCCTGGTGTTATTAGCTCCATGGTCTTACCAACTGAGCTCATCTCAGGGTCTAACACACCTCACAGCATGGACCTGTAGCTATACATACTCAGACCTGTTGGCTTATTTTCTGCATCCACTTTCATGTCTACTCAAGACTATTATGTTACAGATAAAACACAAGATACTTTTACACTTCCATCTTTTTATTAAGAGATAGAACTTATATAACCTCATAGAACTTATGCTCCTATAGTTAAATCACTGACCCAGTATGTCCATTTCACCTTGAGTTGCAGATAAAGACAAAATTCACCACAGCCAGTTGCATCTCTCACAAGCCCTTTCATTAAATAATCCCCTGCCTCCAAACATTATTGTAATGAGAAAAAAGGCATTAAAACACATCAAACCATTTGTGCTGTAGATACATGAAAATAAGATTATGCAGTACTTCCAATCACATCCAAAGCCAAATTAACTGATATTGGTTAAATTCATATCCCCTTTTTTTTTTTTTTATGGAATAAACAGGCAGTGCTAGTTCAGGCAAAAGCAGCTGATAAGCGAGAAGGCACACTGACAGACATTCAGGCCTCTATCAGTACGAACTCTGACTTAAAAGCTTACATACATTACATAGGGTTTACATACATTTACAGTGGATATAAAATGCTTTGTGAAGGAGTCTGACATGGCAAAACAAAGCCTTTCTGCATAGAAAGAAACTTTGTTACAGCAGATGAAACTGTGTGCTCCTCAAAACCTGCAGCCCTACAGCCTCGACTTAGATCTGTTCAGCTCACTCCTCTCTTGTCTGTGATACTGCTGGTCCTTGACCAACATGTAGGTCCAGCAAGGCCTGCCTCCACACTTGAAATTTTAATTAACCAAATCCTGTATCAAAATTTCCATTCTTTTTTCCCAGTATCGGTATCAAATACATGGACCTACAGATACCTAAATAATTCAATTTGATAGCATTTTTTCAGTATTCTAGAAAAATATTCTTTGGTCTTCTTCGATGCTCCTGAAACTATGAGACATTAAAAATACCCATTTGTATAGCCTGCCTCATTGAGTAGTATTGATGCTTTACAAAGAATTCAACTTGCTACTCCTCTACTATATACTTATACATCAACCAGGGGTGAAGCAAACAAGCTTGCTAAAAATATTAGAATTACGGAAAAGTGAATCCTTTACAGTACCTCAGTACCTTCCAACAGCTTTGAACTGACACCATCTCAAACTTTAAATATTAATTTAGTGATTCCACAGCTTACAACAGCGAAGAGAGAAGAACATCACTTGGGAAAGGTCACATCATATCAAATTAGAGGCCCCATACAGCCCCAAATTCTGCACAACAGTGTCCAGCAGCTTAAGTCTAAGGAAGCCTGAAAATAGGGCACACACATAGGGATACTCCCTCAGAATTATTCTGCCAGCCTCTAGCTATTTGCAGTTCAGGGATTTCTTGAGTCAGAGATAATGTCTTATTTATAAGATAACCTTTTCCAGTTGTTTTTGAACTTGCACAGAATTTCAGTTTCCACAAGATCCTATGAAAAAAGTCCTTTCTTTTTTTTGAATTTGCTGCCAGATAGTTAATTCAATACTCCCTACTTCTTGCACCAGAATACACAATAGTAATTTCTTATTCATCATATACATTCTTCATGATTTCACAGACAGCAATGGCATACTGTTCTCAGTCATCTGTTTTGGGGGTTGAAGACCTCTCTTCTACTCTACTCATACCACCCTTAACCATGCCTTATATGTAAATTCTTCCATGCTGTTAGTTGTCC